ATATATATATATATATATATATATATATATATATATATATATATATATATATATATATATATATATATATATATATATATATATATATATTTAAGGAGGATTTTTTATTAATTGGAAGCCAATGAAAGTACAAGTACAAAAGCTACCCGAAAGTGGTAACAAAGAGTGAAACAAAATAAAATAAAGTAAAGATCAAACTTAAATCCAGACTACAATTCCATTGTGCGCAGTTTCAGTTGCCCATTTATAGTCTGGAGGATACTTTATGGGCAGTGCAATTCTTGATATCATTCCATCTTCTCGGGGTTCGCTTGGACGACCTAGTATCATGCACGGCCCGTGGAAACCCTTGGTGGTGACCATGGCTTGAAGTTGTCCGGTGGAGGGATCCTTAACGTAAGAAAGAACTCCCTCCTCGCGTTTGAGATTGGAATTTCTCGTCAAAGGTTTAGAGACACATCCAGTTCGGTCTTCTTTTCTTTGAATTGGCTCATGTTCTTTTGCATTTGAAGTCTGTTCTGCATCTTCAACATGGGGGTCTTCATTGATCTGTATATCATTCAAAACCTTACTGGGGGATTGCTCAATTAAGGAGTCAAAGTTGTTGATGTTGATGGTAGAATTCTTTGGGTCAGAATTAGGGTCATCATCCCCAATATAGTTTTCTTCCCTAGTGCCATTCGAGCCTACCTGTATGGTAGTTTCGTGTGCAATAGGTGACGAGTGAATAACAGATTGGGTCTGGACATCTTTAACAGAAGAGTTCTCAGGAGTTTTTTGTAAGACAGATTCTGTAGGGGCTGAATTGATACCTGCGGCAGTAGCTTTGATTCTATCAGGAAAATACATGTCATTCTGTGTTATATTACCAAAAATAACTGAGGATAAAGATGCATCATCATTTGCTGCTATAGTTTTGGGAAAAACAGGGAAGTTAGAACAGCCAGTAAGTTGTTTGGGACATGGTCTTTGAGTGCCATCCGAAGACTCCAAGGGGGTCTCGTGTTCTCTCAAAGTCCGATAGATTTCATCATCCACATTCTCATCTTCTTATTTTGAGTCTTCTTTTGAGTCTTTGTAGATGACTGCAGGGGCAGTAGAGCCTTTCTTAATCAAATTCTCCTCTCTCCTAATCCACCTAGAGAATTTTTTTACTGATTTGCAGTTTTTGTGGCCAAAAACCCTGCAAGAGGTGCAATAATCAGGAAGGTCCTCATAGTGAATTGGTTGAAGGAATGATGATTGGCCTAGATGAATCGAGACTGCATGTGGTATATGCTTTGTAAGATCAATTTCAACGCAAACTTTAGCAACAGAAGGTTGAGCAAGATTTAAAGTAGCCGAGTCCAATTGGAGAGGGGAGCCAACCAGTTTAGCAATGGAAAACAAGGCATTTGGCTCAAATTAATGTATAGGGAGGCCTTCTAGGGCTATCCACACAGGTGATAGTGGTGAATCAACAGAAGGGTCGAATTCACAAGTCCATCTACAAACTGTCATTTTGAATCCAGAAATATGCCATACCTTTCTCAAGAGACATAGTAGGAAATCTTTTTCCGTAGAAAAGGAGATCAAAATATGTGAGGAATCAAGGAGGGTTACCTTCGGAGTGGAGGAGAAACCAATCTTCTCAAAGGAAGATCTGACAGAGGACATTGAAGGCCATCCAGAGGTGAAGGAGCCAACAATGGTCCTACTGAATTTGGTGCAAAGCTTCTGGATTTCCCCATCATTGAATGAAATGCAAGGCAGACCTTTATATCTTGATTGCGTTTCACCAGAGACTAGAGCATCTGAGAAAAAGGGGGAAGCCATGGAGGTGAGAGAGCCTAAGGATTGAGTAGTGTGAGGCGGTCGACGGCGAAGACATCGCGGCTTCACCGCCGCAAGGCGTCGTCGCCAACCCTAGAGAGAAGGCAGAGCGTAAAAGCCATTATTTATATTATATATATATATATATATATATATATATATATATATATGTTCTTGTGAGAATGCGATCTTAGGAGAGAAATAAGAATGACCTATAACTAGAGACCCTTTATGAATATAATAATTGGGGAGTAAATAAGTAATATTTGATACGTAGGTACTAAATATGTAAACGACCTATAACGAGAGACCTTTTATGGAATTTACTCTAGAAAAATGGAGCAAATGCAAAAAAACACGAGACAATGTAAAACACCGTATTCAGTATAAAATAGCTTTATACATGCTCACTTTTAAGTTTTAACATTAGTGTTAAAGTTGCTCTGAGGAGGAGTATAAAATTTTATGGCTAATTTTTTTTGGATTAAGCTATTTATACACCAAAATTTATACCTCATTTTGTATGTCAAGGGTATGCACCGACATTTTGTGGCAGTGTGATGATTTATATTTACAAAAAATGTCTGCAATTTTTTTTAATTCAACTAACATTTTCTATCTGAGTATTTAAATGTTGATACATTTCTTTGGAGTACAACTTAAGTACACTTTTGTTATACACTTATACTGCTAACATGGTTGTTTTTTTATCAAAAAATTGTTGCCAGGTACCCTCTATTTTGTGATAAGAATTCTCAGGTCCTATTATTTTTCTAAATATGCTCTAGGGTACCTTAATTATCCAAAAAATTACTAAGAGGTGACAATCCATTCATGTCTCCGTTAATTTCAATTTCCGTTATCTCTTTCTTCTTTCTTTCCCATTTCTTTCCTTCTTTCTTGCTTGCTTTTTTTCTTTTTTTCTCTTTCCAATTCC